GTTCGCAGAATTTATGGCATAGTTTTAAAAAAATCGCAAAAAGTCGCAGAATTTGCAGCATAAATAAGAAAAATATTCGCATAATTTCGCATAAACAGGTTTGCGAAACAGGTAGAATTTGGGGCCTGTCGCAGCAGAAAATCGGTGGCCCTACTTCTGACGCTATCTGCTATGTAATTTGATTGGTTTATTATCACATGTTAGCATAATAACCAATCATAAGAATATATTCAAATTTGGTCAATCAACCAATCGCGATCGTGAGAAATTTAATCATTACAGAGATTAAGCCAATCAGATAAGACTTATGCCCACGAAGTATGTATTAAAATGATTTCTTTTTATTTACCACTATCTCTATCGCTATGGCTTTTTGGAAACCGGGGACCATTGCACCAGGTAAAAGTCTAAAAGCTTGCATATTTCTAAAAACAATAACCGCTTTTTATAACTTTTGCGCATACTTCCACGCGTATAGGAACGAATCTTGATCGTGAAACGGAAAAAGAAACAAATGAAGCTCTCGTGACATTTGTAGACCGGGGTACTTCATTGTCTATTCAACAGCAAAGAAAAAGATTACCGATTTATAAATCACGTAATTTTAACTTTCGTCTTTTATAATTTTATAATTTTAGTCCTTTTTTTTATTTAACTTTTATTTTAAAGGTGATCAGATACTGTATCTTATTGAAAAGTACCGGACAACTATTATTGTAGGGCATACTGGTTGTGGAAAAACCACACGTGCGTGTTTAATTCATGATGTTATAAAATTTGATCGTCTTTGATGTTGATTTCATGCTTTTTCTTTAGAATTGCCACAATATCTTAATGAAGCAGGTTGGACCGCTAATGGTTTTGTCGTAGCATGCACACAGGTAACCATCAAACGTTTGTGGTTTTGATAATTTTTTGAGTGTGTCTTGATACATCATTTTTGGGAACTTTAGCCTCGTCGCGTTGCAGCTACAACAGTTGCTGATCGCGTAGCCACAGAAATGAACGTGAAGCTTGGCGAAGATGTAAGTTAAATTCTATTTATACGTAGTCTGATATTATATCTAAATTACTGAATTCTTTCAAGGTCGGTTATAGCATTCGGTTCGAAGATTGCTACAGTCCAACTAAAACGCGTATCAAATATATGACCGATGGCATGTTATTTCGTGAGACATTTGGCGATCCATTATTATCACAATATAGTGTTATTATGATTGATGAAGCTCATGAAAGAAGTCTTTACACTGATATATTACTGGGAATTCTGAAAAAGTTTGCATATTTTGCTTTATCCCGAATGTATCTTAAACTTTTTTTTTTTTTTTAACTTATATATATATATATATATTTTTTTGACTTTGATATTTAGAATCCAAAAAAAGCGACCAGAGTTAAGAATCATCGTTTCCTCAGCCACATTGGATGCGGAGGCATTTTATGAATTTTTTAATACAAATATAACAAATGATTCGACAAAAGACAATGTATCTATAATATCTTTGGAAGGCAAAATGTTTCCGATCGATATACATTATTTGAGTAATCCGTGTTCTGAGTATGTGGAAGCTTCGATACAGACAGTTTTTGATATTCATGTCCAGGTTTGTTAACGTGTCCATCATGAATGACGAGGTTATAACATGATTATAAAACTTCTTTTATACCAAACTATTTATTTCTATATTAGCAACCTCCTGGAGATATTCTCGTATTTTTGACAGGACGCGATGAAATTGATTCCGCTGTCGGAGAAATTTCAGAAAGGGCAACAACGTAATAAATTTGATATTTGGACTTAACCATTCGTGCGATTTAGATTAATTCTAAAATTTTATTATTGATAGATTACCTCGTTCTGCGATGAAAATACTACCACTACCTATTTATGCTGGTCTTCATTTGGAACAGCAACTACAAATTTTTGAACCCACTCCATATAATACTCGCAAAGTTATAGTAGCGACGAACATTGCCGAAGCTTCTATTACACTTGAAGGAATTGTGTACGTTGTTGATTGTGGATTTGTGAAAGTATGTTTAATTAATTTTAATATATTGATAACTGCACTGTATTTTTACTCTTGTTTAAATGTAATGTGTGTAAATTATTACAAGTTGCGGGCCCATAATCCGAAAACTGGAATGGAAAGTCTTGTTGTATGCCCAATTTCTAAAGCATCAGCTCAGCAAAGGGCTGGGCGTGCAGGAAGAGTTGGACCTGGAAAAACATACAGGCTATATACCGAAGATTCATTTTATAAATTGGAGGATGCAAGTATCCCAGAAATTCAAAGGTAACTTTTAATTAATCAATATAAATGTGTATATGCTGATACAAACATTGAACGTTTGTAGAAGCAACCTTGCGCAAGTTGTGCTTCACTTAAAAGCATTGGGCATTGAAAATGTGTTAAGATTTGACTTTTTAACACCTCCACCTGCGGAGCTTATGACACGCTCATTGGAGGTAAAGTTACACATAAAAATTATTATAGTATTTCCCTTTAAAAGAATTATGTCTAATATCTTGCAAGCTTTTTAGTTGTTATATTCTTTAAAAGCATTGGATGATCATGGACGGTTAACAATGCCTCTAGGAATGCAGTTGGCAGAATTTCCAGTCGACCCAATGCTTGGCAAAATTGTATGAATATAACCGCGAGTTGATTATTTCTTTTTAATGTTGACAATTACTGATTTTCTTTTTTATTATTTTTTTGGGTAAAAATTTTACAGCTGCTAGACTCCTATAAATTCCAATGTGGTGAAGAAATGCTCTCCATAGCTGCAATGTTATCTGTTCAGGTAAAGTGATATGAATAAATGCATACAGATATACTTGTCGTCCATATCCCAGACTATTATAGTTTGGGCTTATCCACGCCCAAATCTCAAATTCTGGCCAAACTAATATTTCAAAAACTTTATTAATAATCTTTATTGAACAAACTGTTTTACTAAATCACATCAGTGGTGCTAACACCACAGTTGCTATATTTCACAAACTGACAAATTAATGTCGGATGTATGTTCAGCACACCCAAAAACCTTACTTTAACTAAAATTTGAACATATTATTTTGTTATATTTTAGGGTATCTAACCCTAATTTTTATGTGTAAACTATTAAAACATATACGTGGTGTTAGCATCACGTTGTGATTTAGTATAACTGTAAATACATGAAATATATTATAATTAGATATAATATATTTGTACAATATCAAGATTATTTTTAATTTTTTATGTATAAATAGGAATTGCTTTTTTGTGTTTGAGATTTGTCCGGGTTTTGCCAGAAAGTATATATACAGATATTTTAAATAGAATTTCAACTATTTAATTTTAACTAGGATGTGTTTATAATTCCTTCGAACCCAGACATCGATGTGAATGAAGAGAAAAGGAAGTTCACTGTAGAAGAAGGAGATCATATAACTTTGCTGAACGGTTAGTTTATTTAATACCGTAGAAAGTTGATTTTTAATAATATAGATTTAAATTATTATGTTTCTTATTTTGCAAAGTATTCAATGCGTTTATTACTCGTGGAAAGAAATCAGCGAGGTGGTGTCATAAACACTGTTTAAATTTTCGTGCGCT